AGTTTAGTAAGTTCAGTGACGTCGTAATATGCATTCATAGTGCCAGAGCTAATATGATTATATTGAATGAGTTAATTACAAAAATGACGGTTAATTTTTACTAGAATACCCTAGTGACCGAAAAATCATCTATTTACTCCTTCAGCTTTATTTTTCAGTATCAAGCAAAATTGCAAGTAAATAAACCTGGACTGGGAACCTAATTATTTGTTTATTGATTTTTATATACGATAATAATGCAAAAATTAATATTTCTAGAATTAGCAACTATTAAATAATATAGCTTTGTCTCAAAACAGCTTTGCAACAAGATAATGGAATATACGATCAATAAGTCAATTCCTTGAACCACGTATCAAGGAACGATATCTGTACTATCGCAAACACTTTTGCTCTACTAGCAGACTACACAAAGACTTAAACGCCTCGTATTTTACGTTAAACACTAAGTTAGAGAATTCTCTTTATTTCACGATATACTACATTTATATACTATTCCTCAATAGTTCATGAGTCATAGTTAATACAATTAACCTCGGAATCATTTACTGAATTAGATATTAATTATAGCTACTGCTCCCTTAATGCAGACAACAGTATTTACAAACATAGACATGTAATGACTAATACAGAATAGTCAGATTACGATATGTCCTATCACGGAACATTTCCATGATAATTTACAATCTAGCATAAGTAAATTACAATCACAATGATTCAAATTGTAAGTAGATGATTTGCATTCCCTATTATAACTATTAATTTCAGTATGTGTATAAGTGTCACTGTCATAAAAAGTCAGTGCTATATTAAAACACAGTATATCCAAATTAGAAGTTAACTAAATAAGGATAGTCTAACAGAATTATCCTAACATAGTTATTTCTACTGTAATACAGCATTTAATACTGTAACAAGCTTGCATGCCGCTAGTGCGCAAATGAATCAATCCAACTTTACCGGTCTTTGGTTAACATGATACCTTACTGTATACCAGATAATTAAACATCGTTTTGGAAAATGCATTGATTAGTTATATTGCCATGTATTGCCATGATAACGATAGACACGCATCGTATCGTTACTTTGCTTTTTTTGCCTTCGTTATACAATCCATTGATAAAGAGAGTCCTCTTAAGTTTCCGGTAATATAATTATATTATGTATCGAAATATCATTTATGTATCAGACTATCGAACATAGTTATTTTCACATATAAATTTGCAAGTTTTTTGCCACTGGTGAAAAAGCTTTCTGGCTTCTAACTTTACGAATATTGCTATCTTAGAAATCAAATAAATATATGCAATGCGTAGTGGCAATAACTACTAGTTCTTTATTACAATTAGAATCACAGCGATATTTTGATTACTCCATCTTTAGTCTTGAAATACTTTGCGGCTAAACCCGAATCTTAGTTTTTATCCATAACGTAAGGATAAGGCCGAATTAGGTATACATATAATAATGTAGTTAAAGAACGACAAGATGCTAAACAGAAAGTAAATGAACCTCGTGTGGCTCTTTAAACATATTATTTATTAAACATGTCCATAGAGCTATAAATTGCATTGATATGATAACATTATACTTAAATCAGCGGCATGGGCAGCTAATGTCAGAAATTGTAACATATTTGCTTTAAATTAGACTATAGCCGGCTATTATGCATACTTAAAACCGGATCATATACCTGTCTAACGAGATAAATTGTTATACATTATACTACTTAAGCATCAAACCATGCTGCTAGAATCCATTATGATACATTACAGTGGAATTGTTACAGTTACCGTAACTAATACTATACTTTTTAGGGTGATGGACCATTAACTACCAAACTCTTAATTGATACAATATCGCGTTCGCCAACGAAAATTGCCATTATTGGTCCATTGTTATCAACAGCTGCTGAATATGTTGCATCAATTTCAAAATATTGGAATTTAGTGCAGGTTTATGATCAATTTAATGATAGATGCATAGGTTTTACTAGAGTAACCTAAAAATAAAATTAATCCTCCTACATTAAACATGCTATACTACAACTTATTGTAATTATCGGACATGTGTTATTCTAAACATACACAATAACAAATATACGGTACGTACAATAGTCTATTTTGAACTGAATAATCGTAGAACGTAAAGGCTGCATAAGTCTGGTTGTGCTAACAATATTATTTAAAATCAATTTTCATCTGAAGTATTCCTAAATGTAGATTTACTTCCTTTCACTCAGGTTGGCTATGCCTCTACTTCCATATCACTGGATGATAGGTCAACATACCCATATTACTTTAGGACATCAGTCACAGAGCAAAGCTATATTCCTGCAAGAATGACATTTTTTAAGCATTTTAACTGGAAGAAAGCAGGAATTGTGCATAGTTCCTTCGGCACTTATCCAAAGGTAAATACTATTTTATTTACTGTAGATAAAGTACTGGAGCTCAGAATTTAATACGTTTACATATTATCAGGCACGTAAATCCTGTGCATATTTAATATAGAAATTAGATTTCTGCCTCCGTTGGAAAGCAAACTTATTTTTAAAGTAGTTTCCTTTTTAGCATTCACGGTATCTTTAAAAATTATACGAATAGAATCATAACTACGACTTTAGTGAATACATTCATTGGAATAAATTTAGGAGTGACTAAATTTTAATTATTAGCTGAAAAGCTTAAAATAATTACTGTACAATCTGCTAAGCATGTTTATGAATTTATTTGAAATGATTGAAAGACGCATTGTATGTAGAATACTTGTATTAACGTTCAATTATGTCTCTAAAGTTGGACTGTATAATTTGTTTTATTAAATACGGAGTTCTAATGCAAGTAATATAATATAAATAGTGTTGCTGTAACACCACTATTTTTCGAATACGTTTAGAATTACGTTTTCAATGTTTCTAGTTTGTATTAATGTAGTATTACGTGCAATTTTTTGATTCTTGATTTTTAGTTGGCGTTATTAGTTAAACAAGAAATGAGCAAAGAAAATATTGAAGTGGCGGTAGTAGAAAGCATCGACAGGGATGGAACGTTTGCTGTGAATAGCTTAAAGGTACACTTTAAGAAGTATTCTTATTATCTAAGAAATCTTTCTGAATTCGATAATCGTTAGGATATCGAATTACTTATTTTACTATAAGATAGTAAATGTATAGGCATTGATTTTAGAGAAAGAATGCCAATCGATCTGCCTTAAATCACTTGAAGCAATAAATTAATCATAAACTGTTGCGCTAATTTTTATAATTTATTTACTGTAAATTAGACATAAAATCTCTAATATTACAGCTTTAAAATTGCTTCTGAACTATTTCTAGCATACACTTCGCAACCAAATGGATTAGAACTTTAATTATTTCAAATGTCCTTTCTATTAGAATGAAAAGCAAATTTTTAATTATTAATCGATGATTTGTTCCGTCTGTTTTAATTTGCTATACAGCTTAAGGATGTACGAATAATTGTATACTTTGGATCAACTTCTGCAGCCAGGCAGTTGATATGCGTGGTTAGAATTCTTGCTTGCTTTTAATTTTATGTTGTAATTCTGTTATAGCAAACGTATTTTTATCTATTATTATATGTATTTTATGTTTTATGAATAAATAATTCGTTTCTTATGTACTGTAGCTAAATAGTTGCTTATGATCTACTTCACAAAACCTTAGTTAGAAAAGCCATCAAGACGAAAATATTGTTCAAAATTACCAAAAAAATCGAATCAACATTAGTATATTGTAATTGGGCGCCAGACTTATTGCATTCTCATAACATTAATACCGTAAAAACTATTCATACGTTATATAGACGAATTCTGAACGACGCATAGAGTTGATGGCAGCTGCAATAAGAATCTTATTGATCGGTTGACCAGAAACTGTATATTTTTAGCTCTAGGTTTTATTCACAGCAGTAATATCTTCGTATGAATGTCAAATACTTAATGATTTAAGCAGTTGTGACGGAGTACAGACTCCGTCAATTAATTGTAGCGTTAGTTTTAGTACTTAGTAATTAGGATTTTATTAATTGTTAATAACGTTTACTTATTAGGTATTCGATAATTGTAACATTATTAATAGTCTAGCTATACTTGTAGACTCTGTGCAGAGTAGTCTACTTACAGAGGTGACAAGTAATATTCACACATAGTAATTTCTGTTACTTTGTGCCGAGCCCTTGATTGTTAATTGGCTCTTAATTAGTTTGTAACTCATTAATGTTGTTTACGCCGTCTGCCAAACTAAACCATATAGACAGTCGGCTATACGAAAGCTATATATTTTTTAGAGTTATTTATCTAAGCTGTGCACCGAGTGCAACCGAGCTAGGGTATATAAAGTCCGGTGCTCTCATTAGCTGTAGAGTTGACGATTGACCGTGTAGGGTACGCGTGTAGTTAGAGTAGTCTTAGATGTCAAGACTACCTTGGTTTAATAAACTATTTTAAAAGCCTAAGTCTAGTCTACACTTAGCCCGTTGGGGCATACTTGGCTGTTGTAGCCTTAGTATTCGTACAGATTCAAAGACCCAGGTTTCCTTGTCGTGGGCTGAACACGACTGCAGTTAGCCTAAGATCATAATAACTTTTAGGTCCTTTATTATCCCTGAATTAAAGCAACTATCCTAGTACTAAAAATATTAGATGCAAAATTGTAATAATTGTTATGTTTCAGTACCTAATATACTGTAGTTTTTTGTTAAGTTACGCCATTCTTATGTTTTAGTAATGGATTTATAGTAAATAAAACGCAATCATGTAAGGAATTTATATCTATATAGACATAGACTGGTCATTAATTGCCGCATGTACAGATTATTTTGCGTTATATTTTGGCAGAATTAGCAGTTATAAGGTTACTTCAATTTATTTATGGTTTGAACTCTAGTAAAATGAAAGAAATATGAGTATCAAAGGTGAAATTAGATGACAATTAATCTTTCATTAGGCTTATCATAAAGGCTACTACGGATCAAAATATGTTTGGTGGTTTCCAGGATGGTTTCGCTCAAACTGGTGGAGAGATACCTACGGAACTTATAATTGTAGTTCGAACGAAATATTTGAAGTTATCGGGAATAACTCATTTTACACTACCACACCCATTTATTCTACTTCTAATACAACAGCTGTTTCCGGCAAGGTGATCTAGTAAATTTTGCTTTGCTTACTTTTACAGACATTTGCAGAGTATTTCGAACATAAGAGGAGGGATTATGCTCAGATCATACTGTAGCTCTAGTACCGTATTATCAATCATTTCCTAAACTATAGCATTAATAATAAAATCAGATATGGTTAAGAAATACCAATATCAATTTTGCAGCAGAAAATCTAAGATTATTTCAGTTATAAAATTTTTAGAGCTGCTATGCTGCTAAAAAGTCTTTAATATCTGTGTTCTTTAATTATTTCAAAAGGATAAGTCTCTTTTATGTTTGTGAATCGAGAGAAAGATAAATGACAAAAATATCACTTTGATGCAAGATTAAGTACTTGCATTACTATTTATAATAAAATTAGTTCTGAAAGTAATCTATCTATCACGGCGTAAGATATATTTCTATGATTTATGATTAAATTATCATGCTTGGTGTAATTAGATTGCAAACTAAAACGATCTAATGTCATTAGACTGGTATACAATTTTTTAACGACTTGAACAAATCCATGAATTATACATTTGTGTCCAGCGGTTTTGCTGATAAAGTCGGAGCAATATACGATGCCGTCTGGTCTCTTGCATTAGGACTTCATAGAACAGAACGTTATCTGAAAAACATAAACTCATCATTAGAGCATTTTACTTATGATAATGATCTTATACGATCAGCCTTTGTCAAAGAGATATCAAACTTATCATTTTATGGAGTTACGGTGAGTATATTAAAGTGATGCAATCGAGATGTGCAATCATAGAAAAGCTTTATCGAGAAAGTAAACACAGAAATTACTTTACCAGCTACAGCTTGCTACGATTAATAATGAATAATAATAAAAAGCTATAAACGTAATACTAATTTCAGTTACGAAATGTTAAATTAATTAGTATTACTTTTATAAATTGTTAGCAAATCAATAAAATGCTATATCTTACATTAGGGGCCTATTTCATTCAAGAAAGGAAACAGCCGTTTAGGCAATGTTATTATTTGGCAATTACAAGGTATTACATAAAAGATGTGGTTAAAATTATCTAATAAGGTTTCAAAATTTACAAATAATAAGGCAATTCAATAATCTACTTTTGATATACTTCTCAAGATTCTCTTCGTAAAGTTGCCTTTTATGATATTGAAAACAATAAAATAAGCATAGAGAATGATTCACTTAAGTGGCCAGGTACTACGAGAACTGTTCTTTATTTTTATTAATTAATCGTTTTTGATAGGCAGATTAAATCGTGTGATTAACTTTTAATTTATAGATTGTATTACGAAGTGCCTTAAATTTTGATTGCTGAAATATTTTGTTATTTATGGCAGCTAACTGTTGCATTTGTTCGGCATAATATTAAGGTGGCAAACCTCCTCAAGATCGTTTAATTGTCATCGTTGTCATTAAAACTATTCCTAAAGCATTATTTATCCCATTTAGCATTCTTAACTGTTTGGGAATTATATTTTCTCTCATTATTATGGTATTCATCGCTGTTAAAAGGCGCAATAGGTATTTCTGTATTTGCGACTTATGATTTATCAATTTTTTATAGAAACTGTACTAAATTTTTCTGACTATTAAGCATCTTAATTTTCTTTATTCTAATTAGATACATCAAGATGTCAAGTCCTAATTTAAATTACTTCATTTTGTTTGGTTGCATACTTTGCTATATCTCCGTCATAGTCAATGGCATGGATGCAGGGATTGTAGGTGTCAAAAATAGAAAACATACATGTATAGCAGAAATTTGGCTATTAAGCTTGGGTTTTACGATTGCCTTCGGTTCGGTAATGTTAAAGACATGGAGAATATACAAAATATTTACTAACGTTGCAAAATTAAAATTGGTGAGTCCTACCTGCTTACTGATATTTCGCCAGTAACATGTTAATAATGACCATATAGTTCAGTAAATTCGTATTCAATATAATTTGGCAATAAATGAAATTTAAAGGGACATTTGTAAGTATACGATCGGTAAATACGGGAAACAAATATAAATAAGCTGATATTAGAGCAATCACTCAACACAGTATTACTAAATTGCTCGCACGTGAGATGTAATTGATATGTAATTAATGAAAGACACTGAAAGTATACAACATGCAAAAACTAGAATTTCAGCAATTATTGGTATCGCTATTTCTTTCTTCAAATCTTGTAAATGATCTACGATAACTAGCTCTACTCATTTTATCCTTCGTAATGCAAAGCAGACTGAAAGTTTTATTGAACATGTTAATGTCACAGATTACTAGATTAAAAGCAGAATAAGCAATGGTGACATATAAGCTTATTTGTAACTCATCAATATTCAAACGATATTATCGTTAAAAATGTCTAAGATATCATTAGTAATGCCCAAATAAAAGCACATACATCATTTCAAAACGGTTATATATTTCATTAGATCGAGTTTCATAAGCATAAGTTAGAGCTGCCGCTAAATATTTATGTCGTCGTTGATGGAATATCAAAATATTAACCATGCAAACAATATTTCGTTCAAATAATGTTGCAGTTAACGGCGTAATATTGATCTCGTCATTTTTAGATCATTAAAGACCTACAACTCATTATTCGTCTTGGACAGTTGTTACTTGTCGATATTCTCATCTTGATTTTATGGAATATCATTGACCCTATAAGTACCAATGATGTAGACGTTGGAGTAAAAATTGTAAGACTTAAAATGATTTTGGAATAATGCAAACGATTTTTAGTACACTGTAATAATACTCTCTATTGGTAATTTTAAATCTTCGCTTTATGTCGATTAAACAGTCTTTACTTTTTTTAGCACAACCATAAAGAAATTATACGCGATCGAATTCAAGTTTGCACATCCACAAATTCGATCGTTTGGTTAATAGCTATTTTGGCCTATAAGTCTGCAATGTTGCTGTTCGGTGTTAGCTTGGCTTGGAGAACTCGTAAAGTTTCTATCGAAACATTAAATGATTCTCGCTCTTTAGTATTGACAATTTATAATATATTTGTTTTAAGCTTTACTGGCGTTACCGTTGGTATGGTTTCTAATAATACTTATGATATTGGATTCGCTTTGAAAGCAGCATTTATTATCTTGTGTACTACATCATCGATTTGTTTAGTATTTATTCCAAAGGTATGTATGAGATTATTATTTCGAATTAAGAATTGCACAGATTTATGAATACAAATTAAAGTTTAATTTTAAGTGCAGTTACAGCCAATAAATCAAGGTTATAGTACTGGATCGATTTTGATATGTTTACTTAGATAGTTGTAATACTTTGTTGTCTGGTTTAACATTAGACTATCCCGTCAGCATACTTGCTAGAAACTTTCTAATATTAGCTGATGCAATATTTATGTCATCAGTTACTACAGGTTAGGATTAACCCGACTCTACCATCTGCGACAACTAAAACAGATAACAAATTTAGTAACAATATGCTATCTACATCGATTTCTGGCGAGGCTCAGTTGGAAGTTAGAAAACTGCGATTAATTATCAGAGAGGTAAGCAATCTTTTTTTCGTTGACAATCAAAACCGCAGCTGATTGTATCTATGATAAAGGGTCAATGCCGTAGCACAAATACTCAGTTAAGAAATCCATGTATCAGTTACCAATGTCGATTTTTAAATCTATTTATAAAATCACTCGCGGAATTTAAAATAATAACTCATTAAAAATTTGCGGTTCTATTTCAGTTTGATAAGAGTAAGGACAAATACGTGCAGTCTAGTACGTAAATTTTGTTTAGTTTTCATAAAAGGGCCAACTTTCGTAGGAATTTAATTACTATACTTGGAAATTGGAAACTTATTTGAATGTTAACTATCCACTTTTATCTCAAAGTATAAAATTCATTATGCATGATTTTGATAATTGATTCTTAAGAAACTTTCAAGTATGGAAATGCTGTTTCATATATTAGAAGATAACACATTTAATACCAATGATATTATATGCTAGTTAAAGTCCAGAATAGTATCGCAATTATCATGAGATAAGTAGTATCATTCAGTTTTTGCAAAGGCAATTCATTCTTGATCTGGTTTATATTGATACGATCAATATATTATACCTTAAAATAACTGGAGATAGGTAATAATAGAGTGAGACTGTGTATATCATTAAACTGCTACTGTAGTTATCCAACATGGATGCATCAAGTGCCGATAAATTTTGTTTCGACTAAGTAGATTAAGTCAATGTTTATAGTCTGCTTATGAATAGTATTCAGTATTAATCCTAGAACATCTACAAGCATAAATTGAAGAATATTACTTCGTCTAAGCCAATTATTTTATTAGCTTTGAAGCTGTAATCTAATATATAATTTGAAATCTAGGCCATTTAACTATTTATCTAAATGTAATATTTATCCAATTTAGTGGTATTTGCTTTAAATGCTTATTGCTAGATAAATGATATTCTACATCTGTAAGTAATGAACTATGTTTAATGCTACTCTGAATGAAATTTGCTTGAATTGTATTATATCTAGCAAGAAGAAAAGCTCCAAAAATTGAGCAACCGTACTATACAAGAAACCGAAAATTAAGCGCAAGATAAGGACTCAGCAATCAAGCGATTCTTCTTTGTCTCATATTATCGTTTGATTACCTTACGTGTTATAGTTGTAAAGAAATTTATCGAAGAAATTTCATGCTAAAATTAATATTAATACAATCCTATGTTAGTCGCATCAATTTTGGCATTACAGTCAATTCAACTGTTACAACTTCCAAATTTTGTAACAAGTACTAGATCTGCACTCAGCAAGGAGACCCAGTAATTAAGTTGAAGAACTAATTTTATTGTTAAAACGAAGAGTTTATATACTTTCTTAATTGTGACCTTTGATCTACTGACGTAGATCACAAGATCATCACCAACAGAAAGGTTTCCCTAGTTTAGTCATTACAAATAGGATATCATACCGAGTATGGCAACATGAGAATACATATATAGATAAGCTTAATATAGTACCATAACTACATCTATATACGCATGACGTGATAATAACATCGTGATGTTTAACCATATATAGAAAGAAGGTAACATACTAATTATGTAACTATTACAGAACGTGACATCAACTATTTGTAAAAATATTAATGGCCGTATAATAGCTAAAGTAGAGCTAAGAAGATTTTAAAATTTGGTGCTTGCAAGTCATTTTTACTAGCGGATTCACTGGTATCAACTTTAGAGTAAAGTAACTTATTTTAAATTTTTGGTCCACAATTATTTTCATTTTTGATGTCAACTCCATTATTTATTTACATTCTTCACTTGTTAAGTATTTCATTTTGAATAAATTCAATCAAATAACACTGTATTCCAGTCATAGCTTGATTTTTTTCTTTTCTTTTTCTCATTTCGATCTGTTTGAATCCTTATAACATATTTGTTAGACTTTACTGCTAGAAATAAACTATTTGAATAATTACGTATTAGTATCGTTCATTGTTATGACTGAAATAATTATGATTCAATAAAAACATGTTGAAAATGATTAGTCTAAATTATAATTTAAGTAAAATACTAAATGCCACACTTCAAGGCTTCTAACTAATATGT